ACCACCTGTCCTGTGCTCTTTGGGACGTTCCCCTGAGGAACCTAGCTATACCAGGTAAGACACCTGGATGGACCACCTGTCCTGTGCTCTATGATGGGACGTTCCCCTGAGGAACCTAGCTATACCAGGTAAGACACCTGGATGGACCACCTGTCCTGTGCTCTTTGGGACGTTCCCCTGAGGAACCTAGCTATACCAGGTAAGACACCTGGATGGACCACCTGCCCTGTGCTCTTTGGGACGTTCCCCTGAGGAACCTAGCTATACCAGGTAAGACACCTGGATGGACCACCTGTCCTGTGCTCTTTGGGACGTTCCCCTGAGGAACCTAGCTATACCAGGTAAGACACCTGGATGGACCACCTGTCCTGTGCTCTTTGGGACGTTCCCCTGAGGAACCTAGCTATACCAGGTAAGACACCTGGATGGACCACCTGTCCTGTGCTCTTTGGGACGTTCCCCTGCGGAACCTAGCTATACCAGGTAAGACACCTGGATGGACCACCTGTCCTGTGCTCTATGATGGGACGTTCCCCTGAGGAACCTAGCTATACCAGGTAAGACACCTGGATGGACCACCTGTCCTGTGCTCTTTGGGACGTTCCCCTGAGGAACCTAGCTATACCAGGTAAGACACCTGGATGGACCACCTGTCCTGTGCTCTTTGGGACGTTCCCCTGAGGAACCTAGCTATACCAGGTAAGACACCTGGATGGACCACCTGTCCTGTGCTCTTTGGGACGTTCCCCTGAGGAACCTAGCTATACCAGGTAAGACACCTGGATGGACCACCTGTCCTGTGCTCTTTGGGACGTTCCCCTGAGGAACCTAGCTATACCAGGTAAGACACCTGGATGGACCACCTGTCCTGTGCTCTTTGGGACGTTCCCCTGAGGAACCTAGCTATACCAGGTAAGACACCTGGATGGACCACCTGTCCTGTGCTCTTTGGGACGTTCCCCTGCGGAACCTAGCTATACCAGGTAAGACACCTGGATGGACCACCTGTCCTGTGCTCTATGATGGGACGTTCCCCTGAGGAACCTAGCTATACCAGGTAAGACACCTGGATGGACCACCTGTCCTGTGCTCTTTGGGACGTTCCCCTGAGGAACCTAGCTATACCAGGTAAGACACCTGGATGGACCACCTGTCCTGTGCTCTTTGGGACGTTCCCCTGAGGAACCTAGCTATACCAGGTAAGACACCTGGATGGACCACCTGTCCTGTGCTCTATGATGGGACGTTCCCCTGAGGAACCTAGCTATACCAGGTAAGACACCTGGATGGACCACCTGTCCTGTGCTCTTTGGGACGTTCCCCTGAGGAACCTAGCTATACCAGGTAAGACACCTGGATGGACCACCTGTCCTGTGCTCTTTGGGACGTTCCCCTGCGGAACCTAGCTATACCAGGTAAGACACCTGGATGGACCACCTGTCCTGTGCTCTTTGGGACGTTCCCCTGAGGAACCTAGCTATACCAGGTAAGACACCACCAACACTTTAATCAGCTGGCATTATGTCACAACACCAACACTTTAATCAGCTGGCATTATGTCACAACACCAATACTTTAATCAGATGAAGCAGATGCTAAGCTACAGGACTGTTTTGCTGGCACAGACTGGAATGTGTTCCGGGATTCTTCCGATGGCATTGAGGAGTACACCACATCAGTGGCGCAGCGGTCTAAGGCACTGCATCTCAGTGCTTGAGGCGTCACTACAGACCCCCTGGTTCGATTCCAGGCTGTATCACAATCGGCCGTGATTGGGAGTCCCATAGGGCGGCGCACAATTGGCCCAGCGTCGTCCGGGTTTGGCCGGTGTAGGCCGTCATTGTAAATAAGAATTTGTTCATAACTGACTTGCCTAGTTAAATAAAGGTTAAATTAAAAAATTTAAAGTCACTGGCTTCATCAATAAGGGCATCAATGACGTCATCCCCACTGTGACTGTACGTACATACCCCAACCAGAAGCCATTGATTACAGGAAACATCCGCACTGAGCTAAAGGGTAGAGCTGCCGCTTTCAAGGAGCGGGACTCTAACCCGGACGCTTATAAGAAATCCTGCTATGCCCTCCGCCGAACCATCAAACAGGCAAAGCGTCAATGCTTCAGTATTGCTTGCCTTAAAGCGAGCATAGAAGTGATTTAGCTCGTCTGGTAAACTCGTGTCATTGGGCAGCTCGCGGCTGTGCTTCCCTTTGTAGTCTGTAATAGTTTTCAAGCCCTGCCACATCCGACGAGCGTCAGAGCCGGTGTAGTACGATTCAATCTTAGTCCTGTATTGCATGAGAGCACCAGCTGTTCCGGATGACTGTGTGATCACGCTCTCCATAGCCAATGTGAGTAAGACCTTTAAACAGGTCAACATTCACAAGACCGCAGGGCCAGACGGATTACCAGGACGTGTACTCCGAGCATGTGCTGACCAACTGGCAAGTGTCTTCACTGACATTTTCAACATGTCCCTAACTGAGTCTGTAATACCAACATGTTTCAAGCAGACCACCATAGTCCCCGTGCCCAAGGACACTAAGATAACCTGCCTAAATGACTACCGACCCGTAGCACTGACGTCTGTAGCCATGAAGTGCTTTGAAAGGCTGGTCATGGCTCACATCAACACCATTTTCCCAGAAACCCTAGACCCACTCCAATTCGTATACCGCCCCAACAGATCCACAGATTATGCAATCTCTATTGCACTCCACACTGCCCTTTCCCACCTGGACAAAAGGGCAAAGCCTATTCCCTCTCAGGAGACTGAAAAGATTTGGCATGGGTCCTCAGATCCTCAAAAAGTTCTACAGCTGCACCATCGAGAGCATCCTGACCGGTTACATCACTGCCTGGTTTGTCAACTGCTCGGCCTCCGACTGCAGGGTACTACAGAGGGCAGTGCGTACGGCCCAGTACATCACTGGGGCCAAGCTTCCTGCCATCCAGGACCTCTATACCACGCGGTGTCAGAGGAAGGCCCTCAACATTGTCAAAGACTCCAGCCACCCTAGTCATAGACTGTTCTCTCTGCTACCGCACGGCAAGCGGTACCGGAGCACCAAGTCTAGGTCCAAAAGGCTTCTTAACAGCTCCTACCCCCAAGCCATAAGACTCCTGAACAGCTAAACAAATGGCTACCCGGACTATTTGCACTGCTTTTTACTTATCTATTTTTTACTTAACACTTATTTTTCTTAAAACTGCATTGTTGGTTAAGGGCTTGTAAGTAAGCATTTCACTGTAAGGTCTACACCTGTTGTATTCGGCGCAGGTGACAAATACAATTTGATTTGATGTCACAACACCAACACTTTAATCAGATGGCATTCTGTCATCGCCAACACTTTCCATTTCCCTTGTAGGCATCTAAGTGTCAAGTAAGGGATTTAATGAATGATGTAGTATAGAAACGTAAACTTTAAACTGGATCCTTAGGGGCATCATATGGGCACGAGGCTGACACATGACACTGACCATACACATGTAATACAGTTTCTCTGTTTCTATCTGTCTGTCTTCCTTGGTTCCCTGTTCAGGAAGCCATAATGCTATAACCTACTGTCTGGATAAGAGTGACCGCTCCCCTGTCGACCTGACCCAACCTGATCTGCTGCAGAAGCTAGACAAATACATGAAGCCCCTGATTCGACCATTTGTTTATAAATGGGCAGTTACACAGGTATGATTTTTAACAGCCGATCAGGGTTGTCAAACTACATTTCTGGAGTGTCTGCAGGTTTTCGCTCCTCTCCTGCACTTTATTGATCAATTAAGGTCATTGATTAGTTAGGTACTCCCCTCATCTGGATGGCTAGGTCTTAATTGGACTCAAATTGAAACAAAATAACAAAACCCAGCAGAGACACAGCCCTCCAGGAATTGAGTTTGACCACCCTGACCTAGATGGCATAACACTACAGGTGCAGACTTTACACCTGGTGGCAGTACGTCAGTGCTGGTTGGGTTAATAATGTTGTTGCTCTGATAATGTTGTTGATCTGATAATGTTGTTGATCTGATAATTTTGTTGATCTGATAATGTTGTTAATCTGATAATGTTGTTCATCTCGTAATGTTGTTTATCTGATAATGTTGTTGATCTGATAATTTTGTTGATCTGATAATTTTGTTGATCTGATAATGTTGTTCATCTGATAATGTTGTTCATCTGATAATGTTGTTCATCTCGTAATGTTGTTGATCTGATAATGTTGTTGATCTGATAATTTTGTTGATCTGAAAATTTTGTTGATCTGATAATGTTGTTGGTCTGATAATGTTGTTGGTCTGATAATGTTGTTGGTCTGATAATGTTGTTGATCTGATAATGTTGTTGCTCTGATAATGTTGTTGATCTGATAATGTTGTTAATCTGATAATGTTGTTAATCTGATAATGTTGATGATGAGGGGCGGCAGGTAGCTTAGTGGTTAAGAGCGTTGTGCCAGTAACCGAAAGGTCGCTGGTTCTAATCCCCGAGCTGACTAGGTGAAAAATCTGTCGATGTGCCCTTGAGCAAGGCACTTAACCTTAATTGCTCCTGTAAGTCGCTCTGGATAAGAGCATCTGCTTAAAAAAAAAAAAGATCTGATAATGTTGATCTGATAATGTTGATCTGATAATGTCCTATAGGAGGCGACAGTGAAGGAGCAGCTAGACTGTGGGGTTAGATATCTGGACCTGAGGATTGCACATCGACCCAACGACACCTCTACTAACCTGTACTTCTACCACGGAGTGTACACTACACTCACTGTAGAGGTATGATACTATGGAGTGTACACTACACTAATTGTAGAGTTATGATACTTCTGTACTACCACAGAGTGTACACTACGTTCAATGTTAAAGGTATAATCTGTACTTCTATACTAGCAGGGAGCTACAGAGAGGGGTTGTACCATTTACTAGACTCTAGTGTTCTTATCTGACAACCTTATGACAAATAGGATATATAATTGATTTCAGATGTTATGGTGTTGCTGTGATTATGTTACACCAGTTGGACCCATGTCTATGTTCTCCACAGACCGTTCTTCAGGAGATCAGAGCCTGGCTGGACGTCCATCCCAGAGAGGTGGTTCTTCTGTCCTTCAGTCACTTCCTGGGTCTTAACCAGGACCTCCACACTGAACTCATATCCACCATCAGAACCGTCTTCACCTCCAAGCTCTGTACAACTACGGTAGGGACACCTCCAGGCTCTGTCCAACTACGGTAGGGACAACCCTCCAGGCTCTGTCCAAACTACGGTAGGGAACACCGTCCAAGCTCGGTCCAACTACGGTAGGGACACCTCCAGCCTCTGTCCAACTACGGTAAGGAGACAACCTCCAGGCTCTGTCCACACTACGGTAGGTAGGGACACCTCCAAGCTCTGTCCAACTACGGTAGGGACACCCTCCATGGATCTGTCCAACTACGGTAGGGGACACCTCCCAGGCTCCTGTCCAACTACTGGTAGGGACAACCTCCAGGCTCTGTCCAACTACTGGTAGGGACACACCTCCAGGCTCTTGTCCAACTACAGTAGGGCCACCTCCCAAGCTCTGTCCAAACTACGGTAGGGACACCTCCAAGCTACCTCCAGGCTCTGTCCAACTACGGTAGGGACACCTCCAGGCTCTGTCCAACTACGGTAGGGACACCTCCAGGCTCTGTCCAACTACAGTAGGGACACCTCCAAGCTCTGTCCAACTACGGTAGGGACACCTCCAAGCTCTGTCCAACTACGGTAGGGACACCTCCAATGTTCCCTCTAATCTTTTTTGGCACTGAGCAAATTTCAGGTCTGCTGAGCGCAATTTCTGTGCAACTTCCAGCGTGTGTTTACTGTGAACACTGAGGCTGTACCCGCTTTAAGTTACCGTTTTAACAGTGGCCCAGTAGGCTACTGTGGCTATTTGATCATAATGTAGGCCTACCAGAGTGGCCTACCATCAAAAACAATGGAGAAAATTCATCTCATAACATTTTAACATGGAAATAGCAATTGAAATAGCTGTTCTATGATACAGCCTACAGGATTTTATTAGGATCCCCATTAGCCGTTGCAAAAGCAGCAGCTACTCTTCCTGGAGTCCACACAAAACATGAAACATGACATAATACAGAACATTAATAGACAAGGACAGCTCAAGGACAGAACTACAGATATTTAAAACAGTGGCAGCTAGACTAGCTGCTACTCCAAGCAGCTGATCAGACACTTGGTCGGCAGGATCAACCTGTTTATCCACTCAGACCAGGAGGTGAAAATGTTTTTGTATTGTGTTGTTTGATACAAGAAACCACTTTACAAAATAAAATGTTCCCATACCATTATTATAACAAAGAATCAGAAATGTATGCTACCCTCTGGCTATTGGCTCCTTAGCTTTTTCAAGCCTGTCTCAATACAACACTGTCCCAAACACTGACATAGGAAAGCTTTTTACATGACTCGATTTTCAAAGAGGCTAGAAATGGAGGAAGCAATCACTTCCCCATTTCTGACCAGAAAGGATCTACAGGGACAGTAGGGAGGCTATATACAGGGAGGGTATATACAGGGAGGCTATATACAGGGAGGCTATATACAGGGAGGCTATATACAGGGAGGCTATATACAGGGAGGCTATATACAGGGACAGTAGGGAGGCTATATACAGGGAGGCTATATACAGGGAGGCTATATACAGGGAGGGATCTACAGGGAGGACTATATACAGGGACAGTAGGGAGGCTTGGAGGCTATATACAGGGAGGCTATATACAGCGTAGGCTATATACAGGTAGGGAGGCTATATACAGGCAGAGGGGGGATCTACAGGGAGGCTATATACAGGGAGGCTATATACAGGGAGGGGATCTCACTAGGGAGGCTATATACAGGGAGGCTATATACAGGGAGGCTATATACAGGGAGGCTATATACAGGGAGGGGATATACAGGGAGGCTATATACAGGGAGGTATATACAGGGAGGGGATCTACAGGGACAGTAGGGAGGCTATATACAGGGAGGCTATATACAGGGAGGCTATATACAGGGAGGGGATCTACAGGGACAGTAAGGGAGGCTATATACAGGAGGCTATATACAGGAGGGGCATATACAGGGAGGCTATATACACGGAGGCTATTACAGGGAGGCATATACAGGACAGTAGGGAGGCTATATACAGGGAGGCTATATCAGGGAGGCTATATACAGGGAGGCTATATACAGGGGAGGCTATATACAGGGAGGGCTCATATACAGGGAGGCTACAGACAGGGAGGCTATATACAGGGAGGCTATATACAGGAGGGATCTACAGGAGGCTATATACAGGGACAGTAGGGGCTATATACAGGGAAGGCTATATACAGGGAGGCTATATACAGGGAGGGATACTACAGGGAGGCTATATACAGGGAGGCTATATACAGGGAGGGGATCTACAGGGAGGCTATATACAGAGGACAAGGAGGCTATATACAGGGAGGCTATATACAGGGAGGCTATATACAGGGAGGGGATCTACAGGGAGGCTATATACAGGGACATAAGTGAGGCTATACAGGACATAGGGAGGCTATATACAGGGAGGCTATATACAGGGAGGGGATCTACAGGGTGACACAGTAGGGAGGCTATATACAGGGAGGGAGGTATATACAGGGAGGCTATACAGGGACGTAGGGAGGCTACTAATATACAGGGACAGTAGGGAGGCATATACAGGGAGGCTATATACAGAGGAGCTATATACAGGAGGCTATATACAGGGGCATACTACAGGGAGGCTATATACAGGGAGGCTATATACAGGAGGGGATCTACAGGACAGTAGGAGCTATATACAGACATAGGGAGGCATAACAGGGAGGCTATATACAGGGGCTATATACAGGGGGCTAATACAAGGGAGGGGATTACAGGGGCAGTGGGAGGCTATATACAGGGGCTATAAACAGGGGGGGGCTAAACAGGGAGGCTATATCAGGGAGGCTTATCAGGGAGGCTTATCAGGGGGCTAAACAGGGGGGCTTTTAGGGGATAAAAAGGGAGGGGATCTAAAAAGGAGGCATATACGGGAGGTATATAAGGGGGGCTTTTACAGGGGGGCATAGGGAGGGTATATAAAAAGGAGGCATTACGGGACATTAAGGGAGGGGCATATAAGGGGAAAAAGGGGGGTTTACAGGGACAGTGGGAGGCTATATACAGGCTGGGGGAATAAGGAGGGGATAACATGGGGGGCTATATACGGAGGCTATAAAGGGGGATTACAGGACAGTAGGGAGGCTATTCAGGGACCGTAGGGGGTTTATAACAGGCAGTAGGGGGGCTATATACGGGAGGGGCTAAGGGGGAGGGAGGATTCAGGGACTTTTGGAGGCTTATCAGGAGGGTTATGGGGCCCGGGAGGCTATATACAATTTAAAGGGGGGGTCTAACAGTGGGGGGCAATTTGGGAGGGGTAATACAGGGAGGCCCTAATTTTAAGGGAGGGGATTACGGGTAGCATTGGGAGGCTTTTAAGGGAGCAAACAGGGGGGATCTACAGGGACTAGGAGGCTAATTTCGGGAGGGTAATCGGGAGGATTACGGGGGGTAGGGGGGGCTATTACAGGGGGGGGGGCTATATAGGGAGGCTAATACAAGGGGGGCTTTACGGAGGCTTATACAGGGGGGGGTTATACGGAGGCTATATCGGGGGGTATTACAGGGACAGTAGGGAGGCATATCAGGGAGGCTATATACAGGACTTATTTGAGGCTATATACAAGGGACATATGGAGGGGAAAAAGGTAAATTAAAGGGGGGCTAATACAGGGACAATTAAGGGGGCATAACGGGAGGCTATATCAGGGGGGGCTAATACAGGGGGCTATATACAGGGGGAAAAGGGGCTATATACAGGGGAGGGGAAACTACAGGACAGTAGGGAGGGTTATACAGGGGGCTATTACAGGGGGCTAACAGGGAGGGGTTACAGGGCAGAGGGGCTATACAGGGGGGCTATTAAAAGGGAGGGATTAAAAGGGGGGCTTTAAAGGGGAGGCTATTACCGGGGGGGGTTATACAGGAGGGGGGCCAGGGGGGGACAAATAAAGGGGGGGCTATAACAGGGGGCTATATCAGGAGGCTATATACAGGGGGGGGATCTCAGGGAGGTATAACAGGGAGGCTAATAAAAAGGGGGGCTATATACAGGGACTAAGGGAGGCTATAACGGGGGGTATATACAGGGGCGTAGGAGGGATATAAGGGGAGGGGCTTTACAGGGGAGGGGGATATCAGGGAGGGGGGGTTTTACAGGGGGGGGATAACAAAGGGGGCTATATACAGGAGGCTATTACGGGAGGGTATATAAGGGGGGGGGGGGTTACAGGGGCAGAGGAGGGTTATACAGGGACGTAGGGAGGCTATATAAGGGAATTAAAGGGGGGGCTATTACAGGGAGGGCTATATACGGGGGCTTAAAACCGGGGGGGTCTACAGGCAGTGGGAGGCTAAATACAGGGGGGCATATACAGGGAGGGGGAACTACAGGGACATGGGAGGCAATACGGGACAAGGGAGGGTATTACAGGAGGGTATATACAGGAGGTCTACAGGGAGGGGACTAAGGGGCGGGGGGGCTAATACAGGGAGGGGGTCTACAGGGAAAAGTAGGGAGGCTATTACAGGGGGCTATTACAGGGAGGCTATTACAGGGGAGGGGATTACGGGCATTAAAAGGGGGGTATTACAGGGGGGCATTACAGGGAGGCTATATAAAGGGGGGTATTACGGGGGGGGGATTACAGGACATAGGGAGCTATATCGGGGAGGCTTATCAGGGGGGATCTACAGGGACATAGGGGATCAATAAGGGAGGCTATAACAGGGGCTTAAAAGGGGGGGGATCTACAGGGACATTGGGGGGGCATATACAGGAGGCTTATCAGGGGGGCCTAATCAGGGGGGGGATTACGGGACCTTTTGGGAGGCATATACAGGGGGTGATCTCAGGGACATAGGGAGGCTTAAAAACAGGCATAGGGGGGCCTTATTACAGGAGGGATTACGGGAAAAAGGGGCTATATCAGGGAGGGATTACGGGCAAATAGGGAGGTATATCAGGGAGGGGACAAAACGGACATTGGAGGCTAAACGGGGAGGCTAAAAACAGGGAGGATCTCGGGGGGTTAAGGACATAGGAGGCTATATCAGGGAGGCTTTTCAGGGAGGCTATATACAGGGGGGGGATCACAGGGACAGAGGGAGGCTATATACAGGACAGTAGGAAGGCTATATCCGAGGGGATCTACAGACTAGGGAGGCTATTACAGGGAGGCTATATACAGGGAGGGGATCTACAGGGACAGTAGGGAGGCTATATACAGGGAGGCTATATACAGGGAGGATTACAGGGAGTGGGACTACAGGACGTGGGGAGGCTATATCCAGACTTAGGGAGGATAACAGGACAGTAGGGGCTATATACAGGGAATAGGGAGGCTATATACAGGAGGGGATATACAGGGACTAGGAGGCTATAACAGGATTAGGGAGGTTATCTACAGGGACAGTAGGGAGGCTATATACAGGCCCAGTTAAATCGGAAAGGCTATATACAGGAGGCTATATACAGGGGGGGATCTCAGGACAGTAGGGAGGCTATATACAGGGAGGCATATAAGGTATAACAGGGAGGCTATTACGGGGGGCATAAGGGAGGATCTACAGGGACGTAGGGAGGCTATATACAGGGAGGCTATATACAGGGAGGCTATATACAGGGGGGGCTAATACGGGACAATTAGGGAGGGCTTATACAGGACATGGGGAGGCTTATACGGGGAAAGGCTATAAAACAGGGAGCTATTACAGGGAGGGATCTACAGGACAGTGGGGAAACTATATACAGGGAGGCTATATACAGGAGGCTATATACAGGAGGGGATCTACAGGACATTAGGAGTTTCGGTTATATACAGGGACAGAGGGAGGCTAAAATACAGGGACAAAAAGGGAGGCTATATACAGGGAGGGTCTACAGGGACAGTGGAGGGGCTATATACAGGGATTTAATAAGGGGGCTATATACAGGACAGTAGGGAGGCTATATACAGGGACAGTAGGGAGGCTAAAATACAGGGAGGCTATATACAGGAGGGGATCTACAGGACAGTAGGGAGGCTATTACAGGGAAAGGGGGAAAGGCTATATACAGGAGGGGGGCTATTACAGGGAGGGGATCAAACAGGGACAAAAGGGAGGCTTATACAGGGAGGCTATATACAGGGATCTATATACAGGGAGGGATCTACAGGGATTTAAAACAGGGAGGCTATATACAGGGAGGCTATATACAGGGGGACTAGTAGGGGGCTATTACAGGGACAGAAAGGGAGGCTATATACAGGGAGGCTTAAAAGGGGATTACAGGACAGTAGGGAGGCTATATAAGGACATAGGGAGGCCTTATATACGGAGCTATTAAGGGGGGCTATATACAGGAGGGATCTACGGACAGTAGGAGCTATTCGGGAGGCTATATACAGGAGGCTATATACAGGGAGGGGATCTAACAGGGACAGTGGGGGAGGTTTATATACAGGGGGGGAACAAACAGGGACAGTAATGGGAGGCTATATCAGGGAATAGGGGGCTATATACAGGAATAGGGAGGATCAAAACAGGGACAGTAGGAGGCTATATACAGTGGGAGTGCTATATACAGGGAGGGGATCTACAGAGACATAGGAGGCTATATACAGGGGGGGATCTACAGGGCCCTAGGGAGGCTATATACAGGGGCATATGGGGGCTATATACAGGGAGGGGATCTACAGGGACAGTAGGGAGGCTATATACGGGGGGCTTTTATACAGGGGAAAAGGGGGATCTACAGGGACAGTAGGGAGGCTATATACAGGGAGGCTATATACAGGGAGGCTATATACAGGGAGGGGATCTACAGGGACAGTAGGGAGGCTATATACAGGGAGGCTATATACGGGGAAGGGCTTACACAGGGGACTGTAGGGAGGCTATATACAGGGAGAGGGATTTTAACAGGGCCCAGTAGGGAGGCTATATCAGGAGGCTATATACAGGGAGGGGATCTACAGGACATTAGGGAGGCTATATAACAGTAGGGAGCAAAATACAGGGAGGCATGGGATTAAGGGGGACCGGGGTAGGAGGCTAAAATACAGGAGCTATATACAGGGACTTATACGGGGGACTACTGCAGTAGGAGGCTATATACGGGACAGTAGGGAGGCTATATCCAGGGAGCTATATACAGGGAGGGATTACGGGACCAAGGGGGGCTTTTAAAACATGAGGCTTATACAGGGAGGGGTTTCTCCAGGTTACGGGGTATGGAGGGGCTAAACAGTGGGAGGCTATATACAGGGAGGCTATATACAGGGAGGGGATCTACAGGGACAGTAGGGAGGCTATATACAGGGACAGTAGGGAGGCTATATAACTAGGGGGCTATATACAGGGAGTGAAAGACTACAGGACAGAGGAGGCTAATACAGGAGGCTATTACAGGAGGGGATCTACAGGGTAGGGCTATATACAGGAATGGGGCTATATACAGGGAGGCTATATACAGGGAGGGGATCTACAGGGACGTAGGGAGGCTATATACAGGGAGGCTATATACAGGGAGGCTATATACGGGACGTAGGGAGGGCTATATACAGGGAGGGGGCTATATACGGGAGGCATATAAAAGGAGGGGATCTACAGGACAGTAGGGGGGCCCTATATACGGAGGTAAAGGGGATTACAGGGCCCATTAGGGGGCTATATACAGGGAGGGGGCTAAACAGGGGGCTATATACGGGGAGGGGATCTACGGGGACATAGGGAGGCTATATACAGGAGCTATAAAAACAGGGAGGGATCTACAGGGACAGTAGGGAGGCTATATACAGGGAGGCTATATACAGGGAGGGGATCTACAGGGACAGTAGGGAGGCTATATACAGGGACAGTAGGGAGGCTATATACAGGAGGGGATCTACAGGACAGTAGGGGTAGGGCTATAAAAGGAGGGATCTACAGGGACATAGGGAGGCTATATACAGGGACATTAGGGGGCTATAAACAGGGGGGGGCTATATCGGAGGGAGGCTATTACAGGGACAGTAGGGAGGCTATATACAGGGACAGTAGGGAGGCTATATACAGGGAGGCTATATACAGGGAGGGGATCTACAGGGACAGTAGGGAGGCTATATACAGGGACAGTAGGGAGGCTATATACAGGGAGGCTATATACGGAGGGGTCAAAACCATAGGAGGCTATATACGGAGGCTATATAAGGGAGGGGATCTACGGGGACAGTAGGAGGCTATATACAAGGGAGGCTATATCCAGGAGGCTTTACGGGGAAAGGGGGTTACAGGGACAGTAGGAGGCTTATACAGGAGGCTTATACAGGAGGGGACAAAAGGGAAGTAGGGAGGCTATATACAGGGACAGTAGGGAGGCTATATACAGGGGGCTATAAAACAGGGGATTACAGGGCATAGGGGGCTATATACAGGAGCTATATAAGGGAAGGGATCTACGGGGACAGTTAGGGGAGGCTATATACAGGGAGGCTATATACAGGGAGGGGATCTACAGGGACATTAGGGGGCCCTTATACAGGGAGGCTATTACAGGAGCTATAAAAGGGGTATTACAGGACAGTAGGGAGGCTCATAAAACAGGACTAGTAGGGAGGCTATATACGGAGGCTATATACAGGGAGGGGATCTACAGGGACAGTAGGGAGGCTATATACAGGGAGGCTATATACAGGGAGGGGATCTACAGGGACAGTAGGGAGGCTATATACAGGGAGGCTATATACAGGGAGGGGATCTACAGGGACAGTAGGGAGGCTATATACAGGGAGGCTATACAGGAGGCTTATACAGGGAGGGGATCTACCTGGACTTTAAAAGGGAGGCTAGGGATACAGGGATCTAGGAGGCTATTTTCAGGGAGGCTATATACAGGGAGGGGATCTAGGGACAGTAGGGAGGCTATATACAGGGAGGCAAATATACAGGACCTGGAGGGTATTACAGGACAGTAGGGAGGCTATATACAGGGAGGCTATATACAGGGAGGGGATCTACAGGGACATTAGGAGGCTTTTACAGGGAGGCTATATACAGGAGGGGACAAAACAGGGACAGTAGGGATGCTATATACAGGAGGCTTAAAACAGGGAGGGGCTATATACGGGGACAGTAGGGGCTATATACAGGAGGCTATATACAGGGAGGGGGTCTACAGAGACAGTAGGAGGCTATATAAAAGGGAGGCTATTACAGGGACAAGGGCTATAAAAGTGGAGGGGTATTACAGGACAGTAGGGAGGCTATAACAGGGAGGCTATATCAGGGGGGATCTACAGGGACGTAGGGCATATGGAGCTATATACAGGGACAGTAGGGAGCTATATACAGGGACAGTAGGGGGATATAAGTGACAGTAGGGAGGCTAATACAGGAGGCTATATACAGGGAGGGGATCTACAGGGACAGTAGGGAGGCTATATACAGGGAGGCTATATACAGGGAGGCTATATACGGGGGAAAGGGGTTATACAGGGACCAGTAGGGGGGCTATTACAGGGGGAGGCTATATACAGGGACAGTAGGAGGCTATTCAGGGAGGCTATATACAGGGAGGATATACGGGGACAGTAGGGAGCTACAAATAGGGAGGCTATATACAGGGAGGCAAATTACGGGGACAGTAGGGAGGCTATATACAGGGAGGCTAAAATCAGGACAGTAGGGAGGCTATATACAGGACAGTAGGGAGGCTATATACAGGGAGGCTATATCCAGGGAGGATATACAAGGACATTTTAGGGAGGCTATATAAAAGGGAGATATACAGGACAGTAGGTGAGGCTTTTAAAAGAAAGGGAGGCTATAGGGAAGTTGGAATAGGAAGCTATATACAGGGGGCAAATATACAGGGGGGATCTACGGACGTAGGGAGGCTATATACAGGGAGGGATCTACAGGGACAGTAGGGAGGCTATAAAACAGGAGGGGTTTCTACAGGGACATAGGAGGCTATATACGGGAGGGGATCAAGGGACAGAAGGGAGGCTATATAACAGGGAGGGATCAAACAGGGACATTAGGAGGCTATTCAGGGACATAGGGAGGCATATACAGGGGGATTCCAGGGGGACGTAGGGAGGCTATTACAGGGACATAGGGGGCTATATACAGGGGGATCAAAAGGGAGGCTATATACAGGGAGGATTACGAGGTATCTACGGGACATAGGGAGGCTATATACAGGGAGATCTACAGGGAGGGTATTACAGGACAGTAGGGAGGCTATATACAGGGACTCAGGGGGGATTACAGGGAGGCTATATACAGGGAGGGCTATATCAGGGGGCTATATCAAGTGATGCTATATCAAGGATGCTATATACAGGGACAGTAGGATGCTATATACAGGGGGGGATTACGGGGGAGGGATCTCAGGGACAGTAGGGAGGCTATATACAGGGAGGGATCTACAGGAGGCTATATACGGGAGCTATATCCAGGGAGGCTATATACAGGGAGGCTATATACAGGGAGGCTATATCAGGACAGGGGAGGCTATAACATGGGAGGCTATATACAGGGAGGCATATACGGGAGGCTATATACAGGAGGCTATATACAGGGAGGCTATATCCCGGGAGGGGATCTACAGGGACGTAGGGAGGCATATACGGGAGGTATTACAGGAGAAATTGGAGGCTATATACAGGGAGGGGTTTCTAAAGGGAGGCATTACGGGGGGGCTACAGGACAGTAGGGGAGGCCTTATATACAGGGGCTATATACAGGGAGGCTATATACAGGGAGGCTATATACAGGGAGGCTATATACAGGGAGGCTATATCAGGGAGGCTATATACGGAGGCTATATACAGTAGGGACATTACAGGGAGGCTATTACAGGGAGGATTACAGGGGTATTACAAGGGAAGGCTATATACAGGAGGCTATATACATGACAGTAGGGGGCTATATACAGGGAGCTATATACAGGAGGATTACGGGAGGCTATATACAGGGAGGGGATCTACGGGGAAAGGGGAGGCTTACAGGGAGCATATACAGGAGGCTATTCATGGAGGCTATATACAGGGAGGGGATCTACAGGACAGTAGGAGGCTATATACAGGGTTATACAGGGAGGCTATATACGGGCTATACAGGAGCTATATACAGGAGATCTAAGTGAGGGGATCTAAAAGGACAGTAGGGAGGCTATATCCGGGAGGCTATATACATTGAGGGGGATCTACAGGGAGGGATCTACAGGACAGAAAGGGAGGCTATATACAGGAGGCTATATACAGGGACAGTAGGAGGCTTTACCGGAGGCTAATACAGGGAGGGGATCTACAGGGAGGGGATCCCCGGGACTTAAAGGGAGGCTATATACAGGGAGGCTATATCAGGGAGGCTATATACAGGGCAGTAGGGGCTAATCAGGGACAGTAGGGGGGCTAAAATACAGGGAGGCTATATACAGGGAGCTATTACAGGAGGCTATTACGGACAGTAGGGAGGCTATTACAGGGACAGTAGGGAGGCTATAACGGAGGCTATATACAGGAGGCTATATACAGGGACAGTAGGGAGGCTATATCGGGACTAGGGAGGCTATATACGGGGAGGCTATATACGGGGAGGCATATACAGGGAGGGATCTACAGGACGTAGGGATTATAGGGAGGCATATACGGGGAGGCTATATACGGGGAGGGCTATATACAGGGGGGGATTACAGGGAGGGAGGTCTACAGGGAAAGGGTAGGGAGGCTATATACAGGGAGGGGATCTACAGGGAGGCTATATACAGGGAGGGGATCTACAGGGACAGTAGGGAGGCTATATACCGGGAGGGGATCTACAGGGACAGTAGGGAGGCTATATACAGGGAGGGGATCTACAGGGACAGTAGGGAGGCTATATACAGGGAGGGGATCTACAGAGACAGTAGGGAGGCTATATACAGGGGGGGAAACAAGTATTGGATCCCCTGCTGATTTTGTATGTTTGCCCACTGACAAAGAAATGATCAGTCTATAATTTTAATGGTAGGTTTATTTGAACAGTGAGAGACAGAATAACAACAACATAATCCAGAAAAACGCATGTCAAAAATGTTATAAATTGATTTGCATTTTAATGAGGACTGTAGATCATTTCACTGTCTACTCTACACCTGTTGTATTCGGCGCATGTGGCAAATAAAATTTGATTTGATTAAAACTCGTTTTTCAACCACTCCACAAATTTCTTGTTAACAAACTATAGTTTTGGCAAGTCGGTTAGGACATCTACTTTGTGCATGACACAAGTAATTTTTCCAATAATTGTTTACAGACAGATTATTTCACTTATAATTCACTGTATCACATTTCCAGTGGGTCAGAAGTTTACATACACTAAGTTGACTGTGCCTTTAAACAGCTTGGAAAATTCTAGGAAATGATGTCATGGCTTTAGAAGCTTCTGATAGGCTAATTGACATCATTTGAGTCAATTGGAGGTGTACCTGTGGATGTATTTCAAGGCCTACCTTCAAACTCAGTGCCTCTTTCCTTGACATCATGGGAAAATCAAAAGAAATCAGCCAAGACCTCAGGATAAAAAATTGTAGACCTCCAAAAGTCTGGTTCATCCTTGGGAGCAATTTCCAACGACTCAAGGTACCACGTTCATCTGTACAAACAATAGTATGCAAGTATAAACACCATGGGACCACGCAGCCGTCATACCGCTCAGGAAGGAGATGCGTTCTGTCTCCTAGAGATAAACGTACTTTGGTGCGAAAAGTGCAAATCAATCCCAGAACAACAGCAAAGGACCTTGTGAAGATTCTGGAGGAAACATGTACAGAATTATCTATATCCACAGTAAAACTAGTCCTACATCGACATAACCTGAAAGGCCGCTCAGCAAGGAAGAAGCCACTGCTCCAAAACCGCCATAAAAAAAGCCAGTCTACGGTTTGCAACTGCACATGGGGACAAAGATCGTACTTTTTGGAGAAATGTCCTCTGGTCTGATGAAACAAAAATAGAACTGTTTGGCCATAATGACCATCGCTATGTTTGGAGGAAAAAGGGGAAGACTTGCAAGCTGAAGAACACCATCCCAACCGTGAAGCACGGGGGTGGCAGCATCATGCTGTGGGGGTGCGTTGCTGCAGCAGGGACTGGTGCACTTCACAAAATAGATGGCATCATGAGGAAGGAAAATTATGTGGATATATTGAAGCAACATCTCAAGACATCAGTCAGGAAGTTAAAGCTTGGTCGCAAATGGGTCTTCTAAATGGACAATGACCCCAAGCATACTTCCAAAGTTGTGGCAAAATGGTTTAAGGACAACAAAGTCAAGGTATTGGAGTGGCCATAACAAAGCCCTGACTTCAATCCTATAGAAAATGTGTGGGCAGAACTGAAAAAGCGTGTGCGATCAAGGAGGCCTACAAACCTGACTCAGTTACACCAGCTCTGTCAGGAGGAATGGGCCAAAATTCACCCAACTTATTGTGGGAAGCTTGTGGAAGGCTACCCGAAATGTTTGACCCAAGTTAAGGTTAAGTTAAGGCAATGCTACCAAATACTAATTGAGTGTATGTACACTTCTGACCCTCTGGGAATGTGATGAAAGACATAAAAGCTGAAATAAATCATTCTCTCTACTATTATTCTGACATTTCACATTCTTAAAATAAAGTGGTGATCCTAACTGACCTAAGACAGGGAATTTGTACTAGGATTAAATGTCAGGAATAGTGAAAAACTGAGTTGAAATGTATTTGGCTAAGGTGTATGTAAACTTCCGACTTCAACTGTATTTAGTATAGTTTTATCTAAAAAGGATAACTTTTTTTATGTTTTACTGTTTTTATTATTATGAAATCCACTGAGGAGGATGGTCCTCTCCTTCCTCCTCTGAGGAGCCTCCACTGGTTTTGACACAGCCAGATCAACAGTCGGGGCAGTAGCATACAGTGGGGAAAAAAAGTATTTAGTCAGCCACCAATTGTGCAAGTTCTCCCACTTAAAAAGATGAGAGAGGCCTGTAATTTCCATCATAGGTACACGTCAACTATGTCAGACAAATTGAGAAAAAAATGTCCAGAAAATCACATTGTAGGATTTTTTATGAATTTATTTGCAAATTATGGTGGAAAATAAGTATTTGGTCACCTACAAACAAGCAAGATTTCTGGCTCTCACAGACCTGTAACTTCTTATTTAAGAGGCTCCTCTGTCCTCCACTCGTTACCAGTATTAATGGCACCTGTTTGAACTTGTTATCAGTATAAAAGACACCTGTCCACAACCTCAAACAGTCACACTCCAAACTCCACTATGGCCAAGACCAAAGAGCTGCCAAAGGACACCAGAAACAAAATTGTAGACCTGCACCAGTCTGGGAAGACTGAATCTGCAATAGGTAAGCAGCTTGGTTTGAAGAAATCAACTGTGGGAGCAATTATTAGGAAATGGAAGACATACAAGACCACTGATAATCTCCCTCGATCTGGGGCTCCACGCAAGATCTCACCCCGTGGGGTCAAAATGATCACAAGAACGGTGAGCAAAAATCCCAGAACCACACGGGGGGACCTAGTGAATGACCTGCAGAGAGCTGGGACCAAAGTAACAAAGCCTACCATCAGTAACACACTACGCCGCCAGGGACTCAAATCCTGCAGTGCCAGACGTGTCCCCCTGCTTAAGCCAGTACATGTCCAGGCCCGTCTGAAGTTTGCTAGAGTGCATTTGGATGATCCAGAAGAGGATTGGGAGAATGTAATATGGTCAGATGAAACCAAAATAGAACTTTTTGGTAAAAACTCAACTCGTCGTGTTTGGAGGACAAAGAATGCTGAGATGCATCCAAAGAACACCATACCTACTGTGAAGCATGGGGGTGGAAACATCATGCTTTGGGGCTGTTTTTCTGCAAAGGGACCAGGACGACTGATCCGTGTAAAGGAAAGAATGAATGGGGCCATGTATCGTGAGAGTTTGAGTGAAAACCTCCTTCCATCAGCAAGGGCATTGAAGATGAAACGTGGCTGGGTCTTTCAGCATGACAATGATCCCAAACACACCGCCCGGGCAACGAAGGAGTGGCTTCGTAAGAAGCATTTCAAGTTCCTGGAGTGGCCTAGCCAGTCTCCAGATCTCAACCCCATAGAAAATCTTTGGAGGGAGTTGAAAGTCCGTGTTGCCCAGCGACAGCCCCAAAACATCACTGCTCTAGAGGAGATCTGCATGGAGGAATGGGCCAAAATACCAGCAACAGTGTGTGTGAACCTTGTGAAGACTTACAAAAAAAGTTTGACCTGTGTCATTGCCAACAAAGGGTATATAACAAAGTATTGAGAAACTTTTGTTATTGACCAAATACTTATTTTCCACCATAATTTGCAAATAAATTCATTAAAAATCCTACAATGTGATTTTCTGGGTTTTTTTTCCTCAATTTGTCTGTCATAGTTGACGTGTACCTATGATGAAAATTACAGGCCTCTCATCTTTTTAAGTGGGAGAACTTGCACAATTGGTGGCTGACTAAATACTTTTTTTCCCCACTGTATATCTGACCAAATTATGAAAGACAAGCATTGTACTTTTGAATTCCGTAAAGTGAGTGTGGAAGAGGTGAAAAAAGTATTGTTGTCTATCAACAATTACAAGCCACCGGGGTCTGACAACTTGGATGGAAAATTACTGAGGATAATAGCGGACGATATTGCCACTCCTATTTGCCATATCTTCAATTTAAGCCTACTAGAAAGTGTGTGCCCCCAGGCTTGGAGGGAAGCAAAAGTTATTCCACTACCTAAGAATAGTAAAGCCCCCTTTACTGGCTCAAATAGCCGACCAATCAGCCTGTTACCAACCCTTAGTAAGCTTTTTAAAAAAATGGTGTTTGACCAGATACAATGCTATTTAACAGTAAACAAATTGACAACAGACTTTCAGCACGCTTATAGGGAAGGACATTCAACAAGCACTGCACTTGCACAAATGACTGATGATTGGCTGAGAGAAATTGATGACAAAAAGATTGTGGGGGCTGTTTTGTTAGACTTCAGTGCGTTTTTTGACATTATCGATAATAGTCTGTTGCTGGAAGAACGTATGTGTTATGGCTTTACACCTCCTGCTATATTGTGGATAAAGAGTTACCTGTCTAACAGAACACAGAGGGTGTTCTTTAATGGAAGCGTCTCCAACATAATCCAGGTAGACTCAGGAATTCCCCAGGGCAGCTGTCTAGGCCCCTTACTTTTTTCAATATTTCAGTTTCCCTGCATTAAAATAACCGCCCACTGGGAGTGCTGCCTCTGGATGAGCATTTTCTTGTTGCTTATGACCCTATACAGCTCGTTGAGTGCGGTCTTAGTGCCAGCATTGGTTTGTGGTAGTAAATAGACAGCTATGAAAAATATAAATAAACTCTCTTGGTAAATAGTGTTGTCTACAGCTTAACATTAGGGATTCTAACTCAGGCGAGGAGAACCTCGAGACTTCCTTAATATTAGAGATTGTTTACCAGCTGTTGTTAACAAATACACACACCTCCCCTCTTGAGCTTTCCCGACGTTGCTGTTCTGTCCTGCCGATGAATAGAAAAAACATTTACATGTATATTATCCATGTCCTTGTTCAGCCACGACAGAGGATAGAATATTGCAGAAACATAGGATATTACAGTTCTTCAGGTCCCGTTGATAGGATGGTCTCAAACGGAGCTCATCCAGTTAGTTCTCCAATAGAACAGAGGGTAGAGGCAGTTTATGTACTCTCCAATAGAACAGAGGGTAGAGGCAGTTTATGTACTCTCCAATAGAACAGAGGGTAGAGGCAGTTTATGTACTCTCCAATAGAACAGAGGGTAGAGGCAGTTTATGTACTCTCCAACAGAACAGAGGGTAGAGGCAGTTTATGTACTCTCCAATAGAACAGAGGGTAGAGGCAGTTTATGTACTCTCCAATAGAACAGAGGGTAGAGGCAGTTTATGTACTCTCCAATAGAACAGAGGGTAGAGGCAGTTTATGTACTCTCCAATAGAACAGAGGGTAGAGGCAGTTTATGTACTCTCCAATAGAACAGAGGGTAGAGGCAGTTTATGTACTCTCCAATAGAACAGAGGGTAGAGGCAGTTTATGTACTCTCCAATAGAACAGAGGGTAGAGGCAGTTTATGTACTCTCCAATAGAACAGAGGGTAGAGGCAGTTTATGTACTCTCCAATAGAACAGAGGGTAGAGGCAGTTTATGTACTCCAATAGAACAGAGGGTAGAGGCAGTTTATGTACTCTCCAATAGAACAGAGGGTAGAGGCAGTTTATGTACTCTCCAATAGAACAGAGGGTAGAGGCAGTTTATGTACTCTCCAATAGAACAGAGGGTAGAGGCAGTTTATGTACTCTCCAATAGAACAGAGGGTAGAGGCAGTTTTGTACTCTCCAATAGAACAGAGGGTAGAGGCAGTTTATGTACTCTCCAATAGAACAGAGGGTAGAGGCAGTTTATGTACTCTCCAATAGAACAGAGGGTAGAGGCAGTTTATGTACTCTCCATAGAACAGAGGGTAGAGGCAGTTTATGTACTCTCCAATAGAACAGAGGGTAGAGGCAGTTTATGTACTCTCCAACAGAACAGAGGGTAGAGGCAGTTTATGTACTCTCCAATAGAACAGAGGGTAGAGGCAGTTTATGTACTCTCCAACAGAACAGAGGGTAGAGGCAGTTTATGTACTCTCCAATAGAACAGAGGGTAGAGGCAGTTTATGTACTCTCCAATAGAACAGAGGGTAGAGGCAGTTTATGTACTCTCCAATAGAACAGAGGGTAGAGGCAGTTTATGTACTCTCCAATAGAACAGAGGGTAGAGGCAGTTTATGTACTCTCCAATAGAACAGAGGGTAGAGGCAGTTTATGTACTCTCCAATAGAACAGAGGGTAGAGGCAGTTTATGTACTCTCCAACAGAACAGAGGGTAGAGGCAGTTTATGTACTCTCCAACAGAACAGAGGGTAGAGGCAGTTTATGTACTCTCCAATAGAACAGAGGGTAGAGGCAGTTTATGTACTCTCCAATAGAACAGAGGGTAGAGGCAGTTTATGTACTCTCCAATAGAACAGAGGGTAGAGGCAGTTTATGTACTCTCCAATAGAACAGAGGGTAGAGGCAGTTTATGTACTCTCCAATAGAACAGAGGGTAGAGGCAGTTTATGTACTCTCCAATAGAACAGAGGGTAGAGGCAGTTTATGTACTCTCCAATAGAACAGAGGGTAGAGGCAGTTTATGTACTCTCCAATAGAACAGAGGGTAGAGGCAGTTTATGTACTCTCCAACGTAGTTTCGTCAGGGCGCCCTCACGTCAGCCTCACTTACGCTGCCTTTTTCTTTTCAGAGTCGAGGAGATTAGTGGTCCGGGGTGAGCAGTATGTCCTCCGCCTCCGACTTGTTGAAGTCTTTATCTTTCATAATTATAACTGGTTTGGTGAATATTCGCTTTGTGAGGGCTGCGAGATGTTTACCAGGTTTATCTTCCATTAAGTAGTATGCTTTAATTGAGTTTAACCTGTAGTTTTTGTCTCTCTTCAAAAGTAAAATATCATATTCCTGCTTAAATTCAGATTTATTTTTTCTTCTTTACCTCTTAAAGATTTTTTTATATGAAATATATTTTGATTTGTTTAACACTTTTTTGGTTACTACATGATTCCATATGTGTTATTTCATAGTTTTGATGTCTTAACTATTATTCTACAATGTAGAAAATAGTAAAAATAAAGAAAAACCCTTGAATGAGTAGGTGTGTCCAAACTTTTGACTGGTAGTGTATATAAATCAGAATTTAACAACAGTTGGACGGATCCTACGGCCTTCTTAGAATCAACAACCCCTGAAGCAATTATCAGCAGACAAAAAATAATCACTAAAAACAGAGATCACCCAAGAAGAAATACTAGACATGGTTAAAATGAATGGCACCAGGAATGGAAGCTTTCCCACATAATTCTATTAACATTCTGGGACAAAGTAGCATCCCTATTTACACAGATGACATCACACGTCACTCAATTCAGTGCTTCCTAGTTCCATGTATCAAACAGTTATTTCAGTTATATTAAAAACAATAAAACCTGGAGTGTCCCCTGCTGATTACAGACCCATACGTTTAATAAATTGTGACAGTAAAATAATAACAAAGCTCATAAGCAACAGAATGGCAAAAGTCTTACCAGACTTGATACATATCAAACAGGGTTTATATGAAATAAACACTTTCATACAAATGAAAGAACATGTTTCAGTTTAACACAATACGCTAAAAAACAAGATATAGATTGATCAATAATGGCTGTTGATGCCGAAAAGGCTTTCGACTGTTTTGAGTGGCCTTTTCTATTCAAAACTTTGGAAGCTTTCAACTTTCCAGCTGAAATAATACATTTAATAATAATATAATATAAATAACCTAAAGCAAAAATATACACAAATAATACATTATCTGAAGAAATTACTTTACAAAGGGGCACAAGACAGGGATGTCCTCTATCCCCCTCCTGTTTGCACTGGCAATTTGAACCGCTTCTAGGAAGAATTAGACGGTACCCAAACGTGACAGGTATCAGTATTGGTAAACATGAATATAAAACTGAACTTATTTGCATATGATCTCCTGATATACCTGACCAATATTGAAAAGTCAATGCCCCCCTTTATAAAAAAATTTTTTCAGAATACTCAAAAATCTCAGGACATAAAAAACAAAATAATGGCAATTGGAAAATGAAAAATAATAACTCATATGATCTACAGCAATGCTTTAGGTGGACCACAAAATATAAAATACTTAGGTGCTTAATAAGTGACAACAATATATATAAAGATAACTTTATCCCATTACTCAACAATATGAAAGCAGATCTAATTAAATGGAACAATCTTCCCATAAATCTTACAGGTAGAGTAAACGTCTTCAGAATGGCATGGCTCCCAAAGGTTTTATATGTATTCTTGGTAATACCAATTACCCCACCAAAGACATTCTTTAAAAAAAAAGTATACTCAGTCATAAGACTTTATATGGACAAATAAAACTCATAGAATAAAAAGGAAAGCTTTACATCTTCCTAAGTCTGAGGGTGCGACGTATAGTTAAATGCACTAAAAAGGAACAATGGGTACATATTGAAGATGCGTATGCTAACCCCCAGAATCTTTTCACGTGTCTATTTTCAAAGGATAAAGCTAAGAACATTAACAACTTCATAGTTAAGAACACTATAACAATCCGGAAGATAATGAAACGTATTCTACAAGAACCAATATCACTCCCTGAAAACACACCCCTATGGAACAATCCTTGGATAACTTTTCACAATTCACAGATAAATTGGCCCAGATGGAAAACTAAAGGCATAAATACCGTAAATGACTTGGTAATAGGAAATAAATGTATTTCCATGACAGAATTAAAAAGCAATTTTGGACTGACCAATGTAGATGTTTTCCAATACATGCAACTTAAAAGTTTCATATAACAACATTTTGATCTGAAATCTTTTGGACATCAGAGCAATCTTGAGGGAATCCTATTGGAGTTAGAAAATGATGTTCATATGATAGGTAAGATATACCAAACCTTGCAGAAAACCTGTACAATTTACAATCTCTTCGAAAAAAGTATAACTACTGGAACCAAGACTTAAAAAGAACTGATATTGGCAGAAGATGGAGGTTGGGACAGAACTAACGAAATGACAGTTAAGACAAATGTAAGCTTAATCCAGTGGGCAGAGTTAGAAACTTGGCTGTCAGAAGTATTACAATGTAAATGTACTTTTAATCTGTCTGTCAGCATATTTCAAGATATAGCATATGAGGGTGCAGTGAGATACCCGATGGGTTGGACGTTAACTTTTCTCGTCAGTTATCTTGAAAAAATGTATACTTAAAAACTGGGAATCAACCAATCCTTCAACGTTAACACAATGGAAAGGTCAAATGCTTTATTATCTAAATGTTGAAAGTGTGTGGGCGACAGAGAAACAAAATGGTGTGGTTTGAAGCCATGTGGCAGAGAGTGAAGCTGGCGCTGGAGATGGGGGTTTGGTCAGGTGGGTGTGGCCAGGTGGGATGTTGTTGATCTGGAGATGGGGGTGTGGTCAGGTGGGATGTCGTGGATGTTTGTGTGCGTCTGTATGTTGTGGTTTGTATGTGTATGTTGTGTATTATAAAAATAAATAAATAAATGATATAGTGTTACCACAATGTTTCCTAGCATGGCATGAGCCATAATTTCCCGTGATTCCATTCCCTGATCCCAACATTCCCATGATCCTCTGTGTTCCAGGAAGTGGTGACACTGAGGAACCTGTGGTCGCTGGGTTACCAGGTGATTGTCTCCTATGAGCACTGCGTGGTCCGCCTCTACAGCGACCTTTGGCCTCACATCCCCTACTGGTGGGCCAACAAGTGTAAAGCTGAGGCTCTGATCGAGGAGTTCGAACACAGGAAACAACATGGCCGCCCAGGTAACCTGCAGATGGCCACATTTTGCTATGAAATATTGTGCAGAGTAAGGATTATCTAACACTGCCTATGCAAATAATTTTGAAATAGAAGTGCTGCTGTGCACTTTTAGGGGCCGATTCAGACTTCGGAAATGTACGCCTTTTCTATGCACCCCTCCTACCCACTTCTCAGTATTTGGTATTCAGACGTATCTTATGGCTACCTTAAGTTACCTTATGCGCTCAGAATAAATGTAATTCAACCACTGTAACCCCTCCCACTTGCTGGCCAACAGATTTTCTCGTGGAGTTTTCATTCAATAAGGTTTTTAGTACATCTATCTTAAGCCATCCCTTTAAATACTGTGTACCTTTTCATATTTTGAATTTTGGGCTGTAGTGACGCCGCCTTAGACCGCTGTACCTTTTAGTTAGAATTTTGTTGACAGACTCACTAGAAAACTAGAACACATCTATACACTCCTCTGTAAACTGGTCATCGCTGGATAACCGTCGCAAGACCCACTGGTTGATGCTTATTTACAAAACTCTCTTTGGCCTCACTCCTCCCTATCTGAGATACCTACTGCAGCCCTCATTCACCACATACAACACCCGTTCTGCCAGTCACATTCTCTTTATGCAGTGTTGTGGCGTCTCTCTTTATGTAGTGTTGTGGCGTCTCTCTTGTTGTGATGTGTGTTTGTCCTATATTTATATATATATATATTTTTTTATCCCAGCCCCCGTCCCCGCAGGAGGCCTTTTGCCTTTTGGTAGGCCGTCATTGTAAATAAGAATTTGTTCTTAACTGACTTGCCTAGTTAAATAAAGGTTTTTTTTTTAATTCAAAAAATCAATATATATATCGAGAGAGCAGGTTCAGAATATTAGGGATCAATGAAAGAAAGCTATCTAAATACAGTGGGGAAAAAGGTATTTAGTAAGCCACCAATTGTGCAAGTTCTCCCACTTAAAAAGATGAGAGAGGCCTGTAATTTTCATCATAGGTACACGTCAACTATGACAGACAAATTGAGCTTTTTTTTTCTCCAGAAAATCACATTGTAGGATTTTTTATGAATTTATTTGCAAATTATGGTGGAAAATAAGTATTTGGTCACCTACAAACAAGCAAGATTTCTGGCTCTCACAGACCTGTAGCTTATTCTTTAAGAGGCTCCTCTGTCCTCCACTCGTTACCTGTATTAATGGCACCTGTTTGAACTTGTTATCAGTATAAAAGACACCTGTCCACAACCTCAAACAGTCACACTCCAAACTCCACTATGGCCAAGACCAAAGAGCTGTCAAAGGACACCAGAAACAAAATTGTAGACCTGCACCAGGCTGGGAAGACTGAATCTGCAATAGGTAAGCAGCTTGGTTTGAAGAAATCAACTGTGGGAGCAATCATTAGGAAATGGAAGACATACAAGACCACTGATAATCTCCCTCGATCTGGGGCTCCACGCAAGATCTCACCCCGTGGGGTCAAAATGATCACAAGAACCACACGGGGGGACCTAGTGAATGACCTGCAGAGAGCTGGGACCAAAGTAACAAAGCCTACCATCAGTAACACACTACGCTGCCAGAGACTCAAATCCTGCAGTGCCAGACGTGTCCCCCTGCTTAAGCCAGTACATGTCCAGGCCCGTCTGAAGTTTGCTAGAGTGCATTTGGATGATCCAGAAGAGGATTGGGAGAATGTCATATGGTCAGATGAAACCAAAATAGAACGTTTTGGTAAAAACTCAACTCGTCGTGTTTGGAGGACAAAGAATGCTGAGTTGCATCCAAAGAACACCATACCTACTGTGAAGCATGGGGGTGGAAACATCATGCTTTGGGGCTGTTTTTCTGCAAAGGGACCAGGACGACTGATCCGTGTAAAGGAAAGAATGAATGGGGCCATGTATCGTGAGATTTTGAGTGAAAACCTCCTTCCATCAGCAAGGGCATTGAAGATGAAACGTGGCTGGGTCGTTCAGCATGACAATGATCCCAAACACACCGCCCGGGCAACGAAGGAGTGGCTTCGTAAGAAGCATTTCAAGGTCCTGGAGTGGCCTAGCCAGTCTCCAGATCTCAACCCCATAGAAAATCTTTGGAGGGAGTTGAAAGTCTGCGTTGCCCAGCGACAGCCCCAAAACATCACTGCTCTAGAGGAGATCTGCATGGAGGAATGGGCCAAAATACCAGCAACAGTGTGTGAAAACCTTGTGAAGACTTACAGAAAACGTTTGACCTGTGTCATTGCCAACAAAGGGTATATAACAAAGTATTGAGAAACTTTTGTTATTGACCAAATACTTATTTTCCACCATAATTTGCAAATAAATTCATTAAAAATCCTACAATGTGATTTTCTGGATTTTTTTTCCACATTTTGTCTGTCATAGTTGATGTGTACCTATGATGAAAATTACAGGCCTCTCTCATCTTTTTAAGTGGGAGAACTTGCACAATTGGTGGCTGACTAAATACTTTTCCCCCCCACTGTAGATGCATATTAGTCTGTTTCAGCATCAATTGGTAGATAAAAAAAAAAACTCTGATCTTGTAGCTTTTTCCACTTGGAACCGGTTGGTTTGCTAAACCTTATTCATGTTTTCCTCTCGCGTAAAGGTGGTGGAATTATGAGGGAATTAAATTGAGGTCAGAATACTGCGTATCTATACACACCTTCATTTACACCATCTTCACCCCCAGACAAATAGCTGGTGAATAGCATGCTATTCTCATGCTTAAGTTTAATATCAGAATAGGGAATTACGTTCCATTTACGCTCGCTTATCTCGGGTCGGAATTCCCCCGTACTGAATAGTAAAACAGTTATACACTCTTATAACGTGATTAGAATGTATCTGTAATATTGTGCAGAGTTATCTAACACCGTCTACGGCATCATTTCTCACCAATATTTTCAATGAATAACATTTGTTTGTGGGAGGGGATGTGTTGTAATGAGTGTTTTTTGTAACAGAATCAAACAGAACATTGAATGATATGATCTCGTGGTTTTTGTCAGGAGGGTTCTTTGTGACGGGCATCAACCTGACAGAGGATCTGAAGTACATCTGTTCTCACCCCACTGAGTCTCTGAAGGACCTGGTGATGTCTACCTACCCCGCCCTGCTCGCCTGGGTCAGGGGTCAGAGCCCCGGCTCCGATACCCACTCCCTCAACATAATAGCTGGTGACTTTGTCTCAGAGAGCCACTTCGTACCCACCGTCATCGCACTGAATCAACATTTAATCCACTGCGCTGGTCCTCGGGATGTTAGCAGAGAAAACTGACTCATCTGCTGTGTCCCAAAGTAGTGTCCCAAAGTAGTGCACTGTGGAGGGAATAGAGTGGGGATGCATTATCTGACACATCTTTTTGCACAGAATATCATGTTTTAACTACGCTGAAGAAGAGGATGGAACTGCAGCGTGATGTAATAGAACTTTGCTTGTAAAAAAAAAAACTAACTTGAACAATAGATTCTGATAGGATATATTTGCACAATTGCCGACAGTGAAATGTTTCTGTTGAGCTGCTCTCTTCTCTTCCTGAGTTGAGCTGCTCTCTTCTCTTCCTGTGTTGAGCTGCTCTCTTCTCTTCCTGTGTTGAGCTGCTCTCTTCTCTTCCTGACCTGCACTGATTTATTTATCTGTTTACTTTGGGCTTTTGTTATCTTTACTCCTCTCTTGATGCAATGTAGCTAACCCTAACCCCCTAACCCTAACCCTAACCCTAACCCTCTAACCATAACCCCCTAACCCTCACCCTAACCCTAACCCCCTAACCCTAACCCCCTAACCCTAACCCTCTAACCTTAACCACCTAACCCTAACCCTCTAACCATAACCAGTTTTAGAACACCTACTCATTCCAGGGTTTTTCTTTATTTTTACTATTGTCTACATTGTAGAATAGTAGTGAAGACATCACAACTATGAAATAACACATATGGAATCATGTAGTAACCAAAAAGGTGTTAAAAATATTAAAAATATATGTTATATTTTAGCTTCTTCAAAGTAGCCACCCTTTGCCTTGATGACAGATTTGCACACACTTGGCATTCTCTTAACCAGCTTCACCTGGAATGCTTTTCCAACAGTCTTGAAGGAGTTCCCACATATGCTGAGCACTTGTTGGCTGCTTTTCCTTCACTCTGCGGTCCAACTCATCCCAAACCATCTCAATTGGGTTGAGGTCAGGTAATTGTGGAGGCCAGGTCATCTGATGCAGCACTCCATCACTCTCCTTCTTGGTCAAATAGCCCTTACACAGCCTGAAGGTGCGTTTTGGGTCATTGTCCTGTTGAAAAACAAATGATAGTCCCACTAAGCCCAAACCAGATGGGATGGCCTGCAGAATGCTGTGGTAGCCATGCTGGTTAAGTGTACCTTGAATTCTAAATAAATCACAGACAGTGTCACCAGCAAAGCACCATCACACCTCCTCCTCCATGCTTCACGGTGGGAACCACACATGCGGAGATCATCCGTTCAGCTACTCTGCGTCTCACAAAGACACGGCGGTTGGAACCAAAAATCTCAAATTTGGACTCATCAGAACCAAAGGACAGATTTCCACCGGTCTAATGTCCATTGCTCGTGTTTCTTGGCTCAAGCAAGTCTCTTCTTATTATTGTTGTCCTTTAGTAGTGGTTTCTTTGCAGCAATTCGACCATGAAGGCCTGATTCACACAGTCTCCTCTGAACAGTTGATGTTGAGATGTGTCTGTTACTTGAACTCTGTGAAGCATTTATTTGGGCTGCAATTTCTTAGGCTGGTAACTCTAATGAACTTATCCTCTGCAGCAGAGGTAACTCTGGGTCTTCCTGTGGCGGTCCTCATGAGAGCCAGTTTCATCATAGTGCTTGATGGTTTTTGCGACTGCACTTGAAGAAACGTACCAAGTTCTTGAAATGTTCCGTATTGACTGACCTTCATGTCTTAAAGTAATGATGGACTGTCGTTTCTCTTTGCGTATTTGAGCTGTTCTTGCCATAATATGGACTTGGTCTTTTACCAAATAGGGCCATCTTCTGTATATCCCCCCCTACCTTGTCACAACACAACTGATTGGCTCAAACGCATTAAGAAGGAAAGAAATTCCACAAATTAACTTTTAACAAGGCACACCTGTTAATTGAAATGCATTCCAGGTGACTACCTCTTGAAGCTGGTTGAGAGGGTGGCTACTTTTAAGAATCTCAAATACAAAATATATTTTGATTTGTGTAACACTTTTTTGGTTACTACATGATTCCATATGTGTTATTTCATAGTTTTGATGTCTTCACTATTATTCTACAATGTAGAAAATAGTAAAAATAAAGAAAAACCCTTGAATGAGTAGGTGTGTCCAAACCTTTGACTGGTACTGTATGTATTTTCATATCTCAGGCAATGTGGTCACATGTTTTAAAATGTTCCTTTGACCTAAGCAATAATGATATGACTAATGTTCTGTCTAAAACCTCTGTAGCCGTCTTAGACTAACAAGTATACAGTAGAGCCACTTCCATAGAGCACCAATCTATGGTTGTGTCCCAAAGGGCAGCAGATCCTAAATAGTGCACTACTTTTGACCAGACCCCTATGAGCCTGGTCAAAAGGAGGGAATAGGGTGCCATATGGAACAAACCACATTTTACAAATGGTTAGCACACTTGAGGTTAGAAAAAGCACCTACAATGAATTTCCATTAGATATCCAGTATCTGTGGTTAGGAATATCGCCCTAGTTATAACGTTAATGCTGTACCAACTGAAGAACAGGGCTGCGGCCCAAACAGCACCCTATTCCCTATGTAGTGCACTACTTTAGACCAGAGAATGGCACCCTATTCCCTATGTAGTGCACTACTTTAGACCAGAGAATGGCACCCTATTCCCTATGTAGTGCACTACTTTAGACCAGAGAATGACACCCTATTCCCTATATAGTGCACTACTTTAGACCAGAGAATGACACCCTATTCCCTATGTAGTGCACTACTTTAGACCAGAGAATGGCACCCTATTCCCTATATAGTGCACTACTTTAGACCAGAGAATGGCCCCCTATTCCCTATGTAGTGCACTACTTTAGACCAGAGAATGGCACCCTATTCCCTATATAGTGCACTACTTTAGACCAGAGAATGGCACCCTATTCCCTATGTAGTGCACTACTTTAGACCAGAGAATGGCACCCTATTCCCTATGTAGTGCACTACTTTAGACCAGAGAATGGCACCCTATTCCCTATGCAGTGCACTACTTTAGACCAGAGAATGGCACCCTATTCCCTATGTAGTGCACTACTTTAGACCAGAGAATGACACCCTATTCCCTATGCAGTGCACTACTTTAGACCAGAGAATGGCACCCTATTCCCTATATAGTGCACTACTTTAGACCAGAGAATGGCACCCTATTCCCTATGTAGTGCACTACTTTAGACCAGAGAATGGCACCCTATTCCCTATGCAGTGCACTACTTTAGACCAGAGAATGGCACCCTATTCCCTATGTAATGCACTACTTTAGACCAGGGCCCATTGGGATGCAGATCAAACCTATATGAACCACTGCATGATATCAGACGCACAACTCTGAGCATGACTTATGACCTCCTATGACTGTTCTACAGCTGAGTTATGACCTTTGACCCTTAACCCTTTTAGAAGCATGTCTTCATTACTACTGAAAAGACCTGCACCTCTGAGGAGCATATTGAATAGAGAATCAATCTACAGAATGTTTCACCTCACAGGTTTCAAATGAAATTGACCAAAGTAAAAAATAAATAAAAAATGTTTGGTCTGAAAAAATGATTTTAATTCATGCTTCCAATTCAGAGATCACAGAGTTCTAAAAATAGCAAGTCAGCGGTCTGTCAAAGGGAATAGATTACAATAGATCACAATAGATTACAACAGATTACAATAGATTACAACAGATTACAACAGATTACAATAGATTACAATAGATTACAATATGTGTCAAACTCATTCCACGGAGGGCCGAGTGTCTGCGGGTTTTCGCTCCTCACTTGTACTTGATTGATGAATTAAGGTCACTGATTAGTAAGTAACTCCCCTCACCTGGTTGTCTTTATCGAAAGGAAAAAACAAAAACCAGCAGACACGAAGGCCCTCCATGGAATGAGTTCCCCCTGGAATAGAACAATAAAACCACAGAAGGCCTCAGACAGGTCAGGACTACTACTAACACTCAGACAGGACAGGTCATGCAGACCTTTAAACAACACACTACTAACACTCAGACAGGACAGGTCATGCAGACCTTTAAACAACGCACTACTAACACTCAGACAGACAGGTCAGGTCATGCAGACCTTTAAACAACACACTACTAACACTCAGACAGGACAGGTCATGCAGACCTTTAAACAACACACTACTAACACTTAGACAGGTCAGGTCATGCAGACCTTTAAACAACGCACTACTAACACTCAGACAGGACAGGTCATGCAGACCTTTAAACAACGCACTACTAACACTCAGACAGGACAGGTCATGCAGACCTTTAAACAACACACTACTAACACTTAGACAGGTCAGGTCATGCAGACCTTTAAACAACGCACTACTAACACTCAGACAGACAGGTCAGGTCATGCAGACCTTTAAACAACGCACTACTAACACTCAGACAGGACAGGTCAGGTCATGCAGACCTTTAAACAACGCACTACTAACACTCAGACAGACAGGTCAGGTCATGCAGACCTTTAAACAACGCACTACTAACACTCAGACAGACAGGTCAGGTCATGCAGACCTTTAAACAACACACTACTAACACTCAGACAGGTCAGGTCATGCAGACCTTTAAACAACGCACTACTAACACTCAGACAGACAGGTCAGGTCATGCAGACCTTTAAACAACACACTACTAACACTCAGACAGGTCAGGTCATGCAGACCTTTAAACAACACACTACTAACGCTCAGACAGACAGGTCAGGTCATGCAGACCTTTAAACAACACACTACTAACACTCAGACAGGTCAGGTCATGCAGACCTTTAAACAACACACTACTAACACTCAGACAGACAGGTCAGGTCATGCAGACCTTTAAACAACGCACTACTAACACTCAGACAGACAGGTCAGGTCATGCAGACCTTTAAACAACACACTACTAACACTCAGACAGACAGGTCAGGTCATGCAGACCTTTAAACAACGCACTACTAACACTCAGACAGGACAGGTCAGGTCATGCAGACCTTTAAACAACGCACTACTAACACTCAGACAGGTCAGGTCATGCAGACC